ATGAGGAGGAGGAGGAGGAGGAGGGAGGAGGAGAGGAGGAGGAGGAGGAGGAGGAGGGGAGGAGGTCGTTCACGTCTGCCGCTGAAGTGACGAGGGAGCGGTGAGCAGGGATGATTAGGGCCTGGGAGGCAGGGGCAGGCATGGAGGAGCAGGAGGAGGAGGGAGGGGGAGGAGGAGAGATCTGGTCCTCCCAAATGGGGTCGGAGTAGATGAGGTCGGAGGATCGCGCCGCATCGCCGATGCATCGGCGGCGATGCGGCTCGATGTGGAGGCCGATTTTCTCCACGCCAGCTGTGCCGATGCGTCGCCGAGGTCGCCGATGCATCGCCGATGCATTGGCGGTGCGGCGCGATCCTCCGACCCTATCTTGTCGGACCCCACCTGGGAGGCCTCCAAGAGAGGGGGGGGAAGGAAAGGGAAGCGGGAGAGGATAGGCAGGCACGCCAGGTGTGTTCGTGCCACATCTGGGATCCTGCCATCCTGCCCCTCCCACCCATCCCTTCCCATTGCGCTGATTTGTTCCTATCCGCCGGCTGGGGTGTCCTAGATGACCATGACGCAATCAGAGAGGGGGCTTCACATGCTGGGAGAACAAGGAGCAGCAGGAAGAGGCGGATAAGCACAATGAGCAGCAGCAGCAGCAGAAGCCAGAGGACCCAGGGGAATGCGGAGGAGGGAAAAGGAGGGGATCGGCAGCGACGAGGGACGAATCGGATCCAGAAAGAAATGTTGCCGGCTCTGGGGCGAGAGCGCAAATCTGAACGACGGGGGCAAAGCGTTGGTCTTGAATTGCGGCCAACGTTGCCGCGGGAGCAACATGTTGCAAGGACCGACAAGGGTCCCACTGAATGTGTGGAAAAGGGGGGGCGCCCACGCACAGCACAGTTTCCGGGGAGAGGGGAGAGAAGTAGTCTTATTGTGAAGGCCTTACGGCCGGTGCCGCCGACCCTGAAGGTTTTGGCCGTCGATGGAGACGGGATGTGTGATCACGGGAAGGAGCTAAAGGACAACGTGACAGGGTAATTAGGCGGAGGAAGTCTGTGAGGAGGAGGAGGAGGAGGAGGAGGAGGAGGAGGAGGAGGGGAGGAAGAGGAGGAGGAGGAGGATGGAGGAGGAGGAGGAGGAGGAGGTTTTCACTAGAAGCTTCGTCACGGCACAGCATCTCCACCGCTGGAGATATAAGGTGGAGCCTACTTGTCCTTTCTGCAGGAACCCGCAGGCGCTAGACAGCGTCTGGCACAGGGTGTTCCACTGCCCGCACTTTGAGAAGTTGAGGCAGGAACACATGCCGATAGAGTGGGTGGAGGCAGGACTGGAAGCGGGGGAGGAGGATCCTTTCTTCACGAACCTTTGGTTACCTAGCCCAGATGGGATTGTCCCCGCGAGCTGGGATGGGGAAGTCAGATACGCAGGGCCTGAGGGCCCGATTTCCGAGTTTTGTTTTTTCGAAGGCGGTCCACATCTATACTGATGGATCGTGCTATGGAGGTAAGTATGAGCAGGTGGCCAGGGCTGGTTGGTCGGCGGTGGCGGTCAATGATGAAGGAGGATTTGTTTCTGCGGTTTTGGCAATGTTCCTGGTTTCCTTCCTCAGAGCGCCGTTTTCGGCGAGTGCTATGGGCTCCTTCAGGCTCTGAACCACCTAGAAGTTGACCCTGGGAGGGAGGAGTTTGACCGCCCGTACGTGATTCATGTGGACTGCAAAAGCCTGATGTCTGCTAAAGATAGATATTCGGCCACCTCGGGCAACACTCCGCTGGCAGAAGTTTGGCGGGCCCTTTTTGCGAAGCCGTATCCCACATGGGTGCTGGAAAAAGTCAAGGCCCACACCACTGAGGAGTTCTCAGGGATCATGCTTCGCCACCAGAGAGGAAATTATCTTGCTGATGAGTTCGCCAAAGATGGGGCGAAGATCCATCCGATGATGCTGGAGAACATCCACAGGTATGAAGTCATGTCCTCTGGCTGGAGTGATGTAGCCCTAGGAGCAGCAAACATTTTAGCTGAATGCCCAAAGGCCCAAGAGCTGTTTGGGAAATTGGACCGTTCTGTCGCGCTTTCGGTGGCCCCGCCCAGGTCTGCGAGTAAGCGCTCTCACGCCGTTCTGTGGAACGGCTCCATGTGGAGGTGCAGCAGGTGCGCGAAAGGCTTCAGGTCCAAAGTAGCGAAGGGTGTGTGCGCAGCCCTCACACCTGCTCTGAGAAAGATCAGAGATTTGGAGGTTGAGCCCGCCCATAAGTTGTATGTTTGTAAAGTAATAGAGTCTGGCTTGCCCGTGGTTTTCTGTTTGCGGTGCGGGGCCTACACCACTGGCCCTGCCAGGGCCTTGGGGGCCCCGTGCGCCAAAATCTTCAGGCAACCGAGGGCGCAGCTTCTTGGTGGGAAGCTGCCGTGGCCCCGCGGGAAGCATGTCTCAAAACCGTGGCCCCTAGAGTCCCCGTCTCCCGAAGGGGAGTGGTGGTCACGGCTCCAACATGTATAAGTTTGTTTTTCTTTTCCCAGTCAGCCCTATCGAGCCAGGTTCGAGGGAGCAGTGAGAGCGCCAGCGCAAAAGGAGGAGGAGGAGGAGGAGGAGGAGGAGGAGGAGGAGGAGGAGGAGGAGAGACAAACGAAAAGGAGATGGAGAAGGTGGCAAAAGACGCTCAGGAGGAGGAGGTGGAGGTGGTATTCTGACCCGTGGCCCCCCCCCAGGACCCCCCTTGGGACCCCCCCCAGGACCCCCCCCCGGGTTTCCCCCGGGACCCTCTCCCCCCCCCGGCCGGGGAAGGGAACAAAGGGAAGGGAAAACCCTTCGAGTCAATTTACTTTACGCAGGAGGAAGAGATGAAGGGGAAGGAGGAGGAGGAGGAGGAGGAGGAGGAGGAGGAGGAGGGGGAGACGAACGAGAAGGAGACGGAGAAGGTGGGAAAGGGAAGGAGACACGGACGAGAAGAACAGCCCATTCCACACGCCGACAGGGTCCGCGGATTTTGCAATTGCACAGGCAGGAGAGGAAGTATGGAGATGGGCCTGGGTGGAGAGGAGGGAGAGAAGAGAGACAAGGACGAGGAGGAGGAGGAGGGGGAGGAGGACCAGTGCAAACCCGAGATTCACCAACGATGTTGGAATTCACCCTCGCTCCATGCTCCCTCTTCATAGGCCTCTACAAGGATGCATTCTCGCTGATGAGGGGCGACAACTGGTTGAAGATCGGGAAGCGTGCCAAAACACCATTCCCTGGACTTCAACGCAACGAATCAATCTGGCTGTGTCGTCTTGACGATCTTGAATCGTGCCAAAACACCATTCCTGGGACATCAGCACCGCGAAACAATGTATCTGCAAACAACGTAACTGTTGCGTCCTGGCATTTTGAAAACGACCCGCCCTCCATCCGTGAAGATTTTGCACACGTTTAAAGCGAATGCGCGCGGCGCTGGGGCGAGAGCCACATTTTGTGAACGGCTAGCCCCCCATCCATGAAACCCTTGCACATGTTTAAGACGAGTGCGCGCGGCGCTAAGGCGAGAATCACATGTGGAAACGGCCCGCCCTCTATCCGTGAAGTTTTTGTGTGCGCGGCGCTCAGGCGACAGTCGCATGTTCAAAACCGCCCGCCCTCCATTTGTGAAACCGCGGCCACTTCTCAAGCTTCAAGCTTCAGGATCACAAATGGCAAAGAAATCTCAAGCGAAATGCCCGTCTTGCCCTTCCGACTGGCCTCGGGGTGCGACAGGGAGGGGTTATGGCCGAGGGAAAGGAATGGAGGAAAGGAGGAGGAGGAGGAGGAGGAGGAGGAGGAGGGTGAGGAGGAGGACGAGGAGGAGGAAAAAAGAGCAGGATGGCTGCGGGAGACAGTGTCGAGCAGGAACAGGTGGGCAAATGCGGAGCCGCCGCCGTCGTCGTCCTCGTCCTCGTTTTCGGCCTCGGCCTCGGCTTCGGCCTCGTCCTCGTCGTCCTCGTCGTGGTCCTCCTCGTCGTCATGTCGTCGTCGTCTTCGTCGTCGTCGTCGTCGCAGAGGCCACCTTGCCGGGGCCCCGGGAGCCGCCGCCGCCGCGGCGCCACCGCCCGCCGCCCGGCGTCGAGCCGCCGAGCTCGGCCAGCGGCGGCGCCGGCCCTCGGGCGGGCGTGCGCCCGAGCGGCCCAGCGCCGCAGGCCTCGGCCTCGAGCCGCCCGCGCCCCGGCGGCGCCGGCGCGGGCGGGCCGCCACCGGCCGCGGGCCGCCGCAAGCGCGAGGATCGAGCAGTGGCGAAGCGTCCTGGCTTTTCCTGTAGGCCCACCACAGAGTGTTCTATAAGAACCTGGTGCGGCCTGCCCGGAGTGTGCTTAGAACAGTTCTGGCTGGGGCTGTCTTGTTTTAAGAACGGTGTTCTTGCTTTGAAGACACGTTGGGGTTCTAGGAACATCTCGTGGTAGGCCTATAGGAATGCCGGGACGGTCGGTCCCTGCTCAAGAGGAGAGCGTGTCGGACTGCTCCCAGCGCTCCAGGCCGCGGCGCCGCGGCGGCCAGCGCGCCGCTGCCAAGGAGGGGCGCCGGGCCCGCGCAGGCGGCGGCGCCGCGGCGGGCGGCCGCTGCCGCTCGCGCAGCGGCCGCCCGCGGCGGTCCGGGTCGCACGGCCGCCGCATCTCGAGCTCGTGGCCGCCCAGGAGGCGCGCGGCCTGGGGCCGCGACGCGCCGCGGCGCCACCGGTCCAGGTCGGCGGCGGAGTCCTCGATGGTTCTCAGGACGTGAATTAGCCCCCAGCGTGTGGTAACCGCGTTCGGCTCCGTGCAGACGGTGCAAGCCCGCACTTGCACCGCCTGCGTCGTATCGAAGGGCTTCGGTTGGCCAGCACACGTCGGCGCTAACACATAGTCTGAGGATCAACGAAATTCGAACCCTGGCCTCGCCGATCCACGACTCATGCAGCTCGATGAGCACGAGGCGAGATCCGAGCCATACCCCCGCCTCCCATCGAATCTGGACAATCGATGGTTGGAGGGGACAGGGCTAGGGTGTCGCCACCTGCCAGGTCTCCCGGCGAGGGGCGCGGGGGCCGCAGCCGTAGCCGCGGCCGGGACCGCCACGGGCACCGCAGGCAGGGCGCCAGCGGCGGTGCTCCCTGGCCGCCTTCGGCAGCGGCGCCCTGGCAGGGGCGCCCTCTCGCGGATCGGCGTGGGCGGCCGCCCCTACTGCCGCTGCAGGGGCCCCGCCGAGCCGTGCTGCTCGAGTCGGCCTGTACCGCCACCAGCTCACAGCGAGACGATGCGCTCGAGCACGCTATTCGTCGGGAGTTGCTAGGAAGAAGTGCTCCCGGCCCAAGGTGCCCCCAGGATTCCCAAGGAGGCCCCCACGGCCTCCAGAGCACCCCTCACGAGGTCCAGAGGGCCTCAGCGGCTCCAAAATTCAACGAAAAGCTGGGGGCACCTTTGGCCAGGGGCACTTCTAGCAACACCCGAATTCGGGGAAGAAAACGTTGCATTCACATACGCGTTCGGAGCTCCTCGCGGCTTTCTTGCGTCGACGCTTGGACCCCCCCGGCTGCGCTTCCGGCGCCGCCCCCTGGCGCGCGGAGCGCGCTGGGGAGGGGGGTGGGGGGGCAGCGCCGATCCGAGAAATCCGCGTGGCGCTCCCAAAGTTTGTGCTTGTGCAGTCGTTCCTTCACCTGGCCATTGCCCGCCTGCTGCCGACGCGGCGCTACGAGGACGCTGTCCAGCAGGCGCTGGACAGCATCCGCGCGGCGGCGCGCGAGGCCTTCGGGCCCGAGGCTGGGGCGCGCCCTTTCGGGTCCTTGGTGCAGGGCGCTTACATGCAGGGCTCGGATCTGGACCTCTGCGTCACTGGGGCCCCAGGCACCCAAGACTACACGACCGAGCCGGTGAGGGGCAACGGCAACCAGATAAAAGCTCTGCGCAATCTGATAGCCAGCCTGCCCCACACGATCGTCGTGAAGGAGGCGCGCCTCTTCAAGCATATCCGCGTGCCGATTCTGGTGCTCGAGTTCCATGCGCCCTCGGGCCAGGTGGTGGAGGCGGATGTGTCTGTTGGAGGCTCCGACGAGAGGACCGGTGTGCAGAAGGGATTCACAGACCAGCTCATTCGCCGCGCGCTGACGTGCATGCCGCGGGCGCTGCCCCTTGTGCGCCTGGTGAAGCAGTGGGCCAAGGCGCGGGGCCTCAACAAGGCCTTCGAAGGCTACCTGAATTCGTTGGCCTGGACGTTGCTTGGCGTGTTCTTCTTCCTCTCACGCGGGGAGGCCAGCCCCAACCTGTTATTGGACGAGGCCGAGCGCGCGGAGACCGCCTCCCGCGAGGCCGAGGAAACGGGAGCTCTGCCAGGTCGTTTGGAGGCAACCCCCTGCCGCCCCAGCCACAGAGACTTGGCCGATTTCTTCGAGGCGGTCGCCAGTTGGGGCTCTCGCAGGGGCGTCTCGCTGCTCACTGGCGGGGACCCCGAAGGCTACGCGACGGGGATGTCCCCGTTCTACATCGAGGACCCTGGGGTCAAGCTCGCCACAGGTCGCGACGAGAACGTCGCTCGCGCACTCCGCGACGGCACCTGGAGCACCATCCGCTTCCAGTGCGCAGCGGCAGCGCGGGCGCTCCGCCAGCTCGGCATCCCCCAGCACAGCGTGCGCGCCTGGGCCCAGGAGTCGAGTAAGGGATGGACAACAGAATTGACTCACCCCAAACTTGGCTATTGCGTGGAAGCCCAGCAAAGCACGTAAGCTGTTCGTAGATCTACGAACAGCTTACGTATTTCTCGTAGACTCGGCGAGAAAATGAATTCTGGGGTAAATCAACTCTGTAGACCCCCTGCTCGAAGGAGCTGCTCGGCGTCACGCCGGACCCGAGCAGCACCGACGTGCAGCCCGCGCCTGGGTGGCCGGCGTCCGCGGCCTGGTCCCCCGCAGACGACCACGCCGCCGGGCAGGAGCGGGCGGTCGCTTGGGAGGGGCCGTACGAGGCGGCGTACTGGGGCGGCGCAGACGCCGCAGGCTGGGACGGCCTGGAGGCGGGCGGCGAGGAGGATCGGGGCAACGTGAGACTCGAGTACGCCGAAGCTCGGGTTTGCCAGAGCCTTTTGGACGAGCGCGTCCTGGAGTTTGACGGTCCAGTTTTCGTGCGATGTCTGCAGAGCGAGCTCGCGTCAGGTTAGGTTTCAGATTGGGTCTCGCTATTTTCGTGAAGGCCCCGTCAGGCCAGCCCGAGTCGGGTGCTGCTAGAAGTGCCCCTGGCCCAAGGTGCCCCTAGCTTTTCGCTCAATTTCCGGGCCTCTGGGGCCCTCTGGGCCTCGTGAGGGGTGCTCTGGAGGCCGTGGCGGCCTCCTTGGAAATCCTCGGGGCACCTTGGGCCAGGGGCACTTCTAGCCACCCGATCCGAGTCCCCCAAACCCGAGTCTTACGCCTCCCCAAGAGGAGGGCGAGGAGTGGCCCGAGGAGCAGCACGGCGACCCCGAGGCGCTGGGCTGGCGCTCGGACGCCGCGCCCACCGACGAGGCACCGCCGCCGGTTCCGCCGCCGCCGCCACAGACGACGGCGACGACGACGACGACGACGACGACGACGACGACGACGACGACGACGCCCTCACGGCCGCCCTCGTGGCAGCTGGCGAGGCCCCGCCGCCAGACGCCGCCGCGGCAGGCGTACCACGCGCGCGCGCGGCGCGCGCGGGCGCGCCGCTGCCGGAGCCGTCGGCCGCGCGGTTCCGGCCGTGGGCGAGGGCGGGCCACGCCGCCAGCGCGGCGCGGAGCGCCTCGGCGCTGGGCGCCGTGGCGCCGAGCGCGGCGCCGGGCTGCGCGAGCGCAGGGCGACAGAAACAGCCGCGCCGGGCTCGCTCCGTCCAGCTCGTCCCCGCCCCCTATCACATTCCTTTTCGTTTTAGAGGAGGGCGAATGGAGACGAGGGTAGTCGGCCTTCGGGGGGCACCCTCGCCGTCACGGCTGGACGCAGATTGGAAAAATTGATGCGTTTGGACCCCGGGAGAGATCCAGGGACCGATTTTGAGCTGCCGTTGACTCCTCCTCCTCCTCCTCCTTCTCCTCCTCCTCCTTCTCTTCCTCGTTCGCTGCATGGAGACTTCGCAGACCCGCGAAAGGCTGAGTGAATTTGGCTGCCAGCAGGCAGACATCATTTCATAGTCGTTTCTCGGCGCTCCAGTGCCACCGCCAGTCTTTGGTGGGGCCGTCCCCCAGGACTGACCGGCGCCTCGCTCTCGCCTCATCCTCGTCGCATCACCAGTTCCATCTTCGCTCATCCTCGTAGCTGCCCTGATACGCCCGTGTTGAAACGCAACACGTGCCGTATTCAAAACGTACGAGTTACACATGCTACATGTTGGTTCGGCACGTGGTGGTCCACGTTTTCGCAAGCGCATCGCGCGGGACCTCCGTATTCAGTCTACGTCTTGAGCTCTGTGTCAGCATGTTACGTGTTGCTTGTTGCGTGTTGCGTATCGGGGCAGCTAACTAAGTTCATCCTCCCTCTCCCTCTCCTCTCCCTTCTGCTTCTCCTTCTCTTCTCCCTCCTGTCGCACGGGGAGCGCGCGGGGATGCCTGAATATGGGAGGGGGGTATCACCCAAGATCAAAGAGTCGTCACACCCCACCGCAGAGCCCCTCAACGCTGCGCGGCAGCACGGGAGGCGGCGAGGGAGGCCCAGGCGGGCACTACAAGACAACGAGGGAGCGAATCCTGCAAGCGAGCTGGGCAGTTACGTAGCGCGCCATGAGGAAAGGACGCAACTGGGGGGTGGTGGGGGGGAGCAGCAGAAGAAAGCAACGCGCAACGGATTTGTCAACCACACCACAAAACCTGATCCCCTTTTGACGCAGAACGATTGAGCTCTCGCTGTGTTGGGACTCCTGGCTTTGATGCCGATGGGCGGCCAGCTCGAGGAGTGCCCCAGGAAGAAGCCTTTCAGCAGATCGTTCCACTATGCAGCCCCCTCGGCTCGAGCCATCGGCTCTGCGGCGTGCAGACCGATCCCTCCCCTCACCCTCCTGACCCCATCAGCATCAGCATCAGCATCAGCAGCATCATCATCATCATCATCCAATCGAACTCTTTCGAAACCGTGCCACGCTTCTCCGAAAGCACCCGAAGACCGCCGACAAATCCCCGATGACCGCCAGGAACTCGGCCACGCGCAGAGGGGGGCTAGGGGCAGGCGGGGAGGCTTCTTAGAAACACCCCTGCTTAGAAGGTGCGGGCCATACCTATACATGTAAGGAAGCGTCTTCTACGACGCAGCCTCCTTCTAAGAAGCCGTCCCTGCTCCACCTATCCCCTCCCCTCTGCGCGCCGCCAAATCCTCCCTGGCCCTCCGGCGTCACGACCTTCTCCGTTACCTTAGCCCCCAGGGTGCTCGTCGCCTACCCCAGGGCCCAGGCTTGCGCCCTGAGCCGCCTCATTGCTCTGCCCCAGGGGTCCGCACCGGGCATCTGGATCGGCGGCGAGCGAGGGGGCGAAGTGAGAAGGAGAAGGCCTTCTCAGAAGGCGGCGGGGCTTCTCAGAAGTCTACGGGCGAAGAACGGTATAAAATAGACGTTTTCGCTGTCGGGGGTGCCTGTCCCAGGGCGGCTGGAAAGTTTATACCCTTCCGGTGCCACGTAGGGGTAGAATTTTCGAGTCGCTTGGGGGCAGGCGTCCCCGACGGTGGAAAAGTTTATTTTGTACCGTTCTTCGCCCCTTAAAGAAGGCCTCGGGCCTTCTGAGAAGTTTTCTGTGTCTTCGGGGAAGGCTTAGAATCTTCTCAGAAGGCCCCCTCCGAGCCTTCTGAGAAGGCCCGCCCCTTCTTGCTGCCCCTCAGGGCTGGCCGCCGATCCTCTGTGACGCCAGAGGTCTGTATTCTCTCCCGCAGCGACCCCGCTGGACCGGAGTTGGCGCATGTCTTGGCCACGATTGCAGGGGGACCCCAGCCGTGGTCACGAGGTCCGCCCCGGGAGGCCCAAGAAAGCCCAGTGACGCCCGAAAGCCTCGAGTCTGTGTGCTCGACCTTCCGACCGAAATCCACTCAGAGTCTGCCCCGGACCCCTCCAGGGATCTATCCTTGCAAATTGTTGACCCCGGTCAGATTTCTGACGGTCCCAGAACCACAAACTTCGAATCGCGATCGTTCCTCCCTCGCCTCATGGGCCACTCATCGTCCGCCCTCGCGCACGTGGAGAAGCTGAGGAGCGGTTCCCCTGACGAGCGCGAGGCGGCCGCGAAGGCGCTGGCGGACCTGGGCGCGGCCTTCCCAGAGCGCAGGGGCCAGATCGTAGCCGACGGGGCCGTCGGTCCCCGCCTCGCCCTCCTCGCCCTGCCGTCCTGTTGCTCCTCCCCTCCTCGCCCCCATCCCTCGTCGTACTCCTCCGTCTGCCCTCATCGATCCTCTTGCTCCCTGGCCTCCTCCACCCATCTTCCTCATGTCCAGCTCCCCCGTGTCGCACCGCCAGACGTGTCGTTAATTAAGCAGGTCCTGGCATTTCGACTGGGGCTTCCTCACCGAATGTAATGTTGAATATGGGAACCCAGCAGTTAGTGCGGATGGAAGGCGGCCGTTCTCAAGATGGGGCTATTGCTTTGGCGTGCGCGAGCTTATTTTTCAAGTGTCCAAAAACTTCACGGATGGAAGACGGGCCGTTTTCAAATGTGGCTCTCGTTTTGGCGCCGCATTCGTTTAACACGGATGCAGGGCGCTTCTTTTCCAACATGGGGCTATCGCATGAGATTTCATCAAAACGCACGACCGCAATTAAAACGTTGTGAAAAGTTACGAAGGATAGATGGCGGCTCTTTTTCAGAATCATGGATTCGTTTGGTCTCCAGTTGATGTTAGAACTAGACGTCTGACGTTGTCCAACAGCTACACGGATGAAGGGCGGTTGTTGTTCACGGGATGTCGGTGGGCATTTGAAGATTTTGTGAACCCATTCTGTCGCATTCGTTGAAATTCGAAGGGTGGTGGGCAGTTTCTTTCAAGCCAAGTTCCTGCATGAGTTCCGTGCCGATGGGACGCTCGTGTTTCAATGGGGCGCCTCACGCAAGTCAGAGGAAGTTGCTATGGGTGAGAGAACTTGAGACTGTTGCGTTTGTTGCGGGGCTTTGGGGGTCCCTTCTGGATGAACTTCTTGGGGGCATGCTGGGGTCTTCGGAGCCATCTTGTGCGGAAGGGCTCCCGGGCCCCCCGCGAGTTCTTGCGGTCCTCTTGCAGCAAGTGTTGGTCATTCTGGAAGCCGTTTCGGCTGTCTTAGGCCCTCTTGGGCCAGTCTGGATGACCTCTCGGGCTGTCTTGAATTTTCTAAGCCTGAAATGGCAAGATCGCGAACAGCATTCAAAAGTATATGATCTATCAATAATGTGTGCCTTTGAGGGCCCTCTTTGGGCGTCTTGGGGGCTTGGGCGGCTGGAGGCCATCTTGCGTGTTCTGAGAGAGCGCGTTCTACCGCTCCTGGCAACCTCCGCACCCCCCCGGTTCAGACCGGTAGGGGGGGGAACCCCCAGTCCGAAGCGGAGGGGGAGGGAAGGGATGGGATTCCCTTACAGTTGGATCTAGCCTGGTAGGATTATATCAGAGCTGGATCTAGCCTTTGTGGACTCTACTGTAGTGTCCTTCGGTCAGTGCCGCCGATCCGGGTCGCTTGGGGTGCCCCCCGGACTGGGCGGCGACACTGCGCCGACAGACACTCACGCACACGATCGCAGACATGACGCGCACACGCGCACACACACACACACACACGCACACGCGCACACACACAACCACACACACACACACACTACACACCCACAGACACACACACACACACACGCACACTACAGTCACACACACGCGTCACCTTCACAGGCACACACGCACACGCCGGCAACACACACGCACCATGCACACCGCACAAACACACACACCACACAACAGACACGCATTTCACGGCCCGTTCGTCTTCCCCCATTTGTTTCCCGTTTTCCGCTATTGTCCCGTTCCACTTCTATCTCCCTCTTTCCCCGATTCCCTTCTCGCGCACGCGGACAAACATCACCCCACGCACGCGCGTACACAATTACTCAATCTGAAAATACTCTCCCTCTTCCCCTGATGGCGGTTGGGTGATCGCCGAACACCCTCCGCGTACTGTTTTTTTACACACAGGATTCCCGGGAAACGGGTTTTCGCCTGCGTTTTTTTTCAAAATGCTGCTCTCGCTGAGGCGCCGGCTTCATTTCTGCTCCCGAATCGTTCCGATTCGTGCTCCCGCTGCAGCGTGGGCCTCATTTTCGGATCGGTGTTTGGCCTCCGTCGTTCAGGATGGCGTTCTCGCCCCAGCGCGGGCCTCTTTCTCGCGCGCCCATCCGCCCGCCACCACCGCGCCGCACCACCACCACCACCACCACCACCACCACCACCACCACCACCACCACCACCACCACAACCACGCACACACGCACGCACGCACGCACGCGCACCACCACCCACTACGCACGCGCGCGCGGAGCCACAGGTCCGCTACGACACGCGTCCGCGGATAGAGAAAATCAGCGCCATGGTAAGGGATGGGAGGACGTCAGATATGACGCGAGCGCACCTAGCTTGACACATCCCCTCTCCTCCTTCCCCTGCAGAGCCACCCTGGCAACCCCACCAGAGGCTGAAGCTCAGCCTCGAGGCTGTAGTTGAGGCCCCTTCAAACTCACACGCCACGGAAACCCCCCGCCCCCACCCCCGCGCCATCGGAACCCACGCCACTGGAACCCCCCACCCCCCCTCTTCTCCAAATTTCCCTTATCCACAGGCGGGACGGGGGACCGGACCCCCCCCCCCTCCACGCCACGGACCCCCCCCCCCACTCCCCCTACCCTGGCAGCGCCACCCCGGCCTCCGGACCCCCCCCTTTGTTCCCCAAATTCCGCCAGTCCACAGGCGGGACGGGGGACCTGACCCCCCCACCCACCCACCCACGCCACCACCAGAACCCACGCCAACGGACCCTCACCCCGGCAGAGCCACCCCGGTCTCCCCCCCTTAAACTCACACTCCGGATCGGCGGATTAAAGCTGGACCGAATCGTAGCATTGATGCAGTAAGTCTAGCTCGAGCCCTAATCGGATTTTGTTAGTGCTGCAGCGAGACCAAAGTAGAGCCCCATCAGAGTTGGATCGAGCACTCGCAGGGTCTTATTAGAATCGGATCCGCCCCATACTAGGATTCCACTCGTTATGGATCG